CACCTGTTTGCCCCTGCCCTTTCCCCTCTCCATCTCCTCTTAACTCTTCATCCTCCCACCTTCTTTATTAACCCATACCTGGGAGGGGACAGTTGGGGCAGGCCCCAAGGCTGTCTTCATTACCTCCACCACCACCACGATGAAGCCAAAGATCAGATTGAAGGTGTTGAATATCATCATGGCCCGCACCTGCCAGTGAGCCAGCTCAGCCTTGCCCAGCCTAGGCAACTCATTGCAACCCCAAGCCCCACTTGCACCTAGCCAAAAACAAAATTCAGCTCTTATTCCTCCACCTCCCAACAGGGCCATCAGCCCTCTAACCTTTTTGCTTTCCCTCCTCTGTCTTTTAGGCCAGTCAGGGGAAATGAGCTGATAAGATTAGTCAACATTTAGAGAGCCATTTCCTGGGCTGAGGGGTGTGTGTGTGTGTGTGTGTGTGTTGGGGGGTGGCAGAGTAGTATTGCATTATCTTCCCCTTTCACCTTCCAGAGACGGGGCGCTCTGCGTAGCTCAAGGGTAACAGTCCCAGCGAGGAGACCCTGAATGGTGAGAAAGGCAAGTGCTGAGCTCTAGCCTCATTAGTGAAGGGTCCCCAGGACCTTCCTTCTACCCTCCCTTGTGGTGGGTCTTACCAATGCTCCAGGTCCAAGCGGGAGTGCTGTGGCCATGTGACAAGAAGAGTTAAGGCAAGCAACTGAGACAGCAGAAGGTACCACAGCCACTGCCAGCCATAGCTGGCTCACCTGGAGGCCAGATGCAGGGTGTTTGAAGGGGAACTATCAGGAATTCCCTCCTTCCAATCCCTGTTTCTTCTAGAGATCAGCAATTGAAGGAATGCATGGTGGTGGAAAGCAGTCAATCAGGGAAGTGGAGGAAGGGTGGTAATTAATTTGTTCTACCTCATCTTGTAGTTTACTTACGTACCTATGTGTTTTCCCCACATGATGGAAGCCACTTGGAGATTACGGGTCCTGCCTTGTTTATCCTATGCATTCTCCACCCGCCTCCCACTCAGAACCTAGCAGTTTCAAACACATGGTAGGTGCTCACAAAGCGTGGATGGAATTGAATTGGGGTACAAGTAAACATGCTGAAGCTTAGGGTGGGGCATCCTGGCCTCACCGCCAGCACCAAGAGATGCCCACTCTGCCTGTGCCTTGCCCAGTACTGTAGCTTTTCCAGACGAAGGCTGGATCTCTCTGGCTCTCGCCGACCAGCTCTGTCCTCCATGGCTCCCTTGACCACTGAAGCTCAGTGCTTTCCTGGGAAAAATGTATTATGGCACCGATCTGGAGGCAAGACATGCAGAAACATCTCTTTCAGCTGCCTCTCTGTCTGCTTCTAATATCCAAGGAATTGAGGCTCAGGGCCTCTCACCTACCTAGTCTGAAGCAGCTACTCCGAAGGGATGGGATTCAGCTTGGCCTGGAGCTCCTGGCGGGGCCTGTAGCTCAGAGGAGACAACAAACTTGTCCTGGCAGAGACAGGTTGTCAGGCCTGGGGTGTGGTGGGGCGAAGGTCTCTATGAGAGCCTAAGGATCCAGGAAGTGGCCCTGAGTAGACATCAGCTTCAGTTGACTCCACAAGACACCCAGCCCTGCTTTGCTTTGTTCCCATTTCCTGTTGCCCTCATCTCTGCCCATCCTGGGTTCCTCTACTGATCACTCAGCCATGGACACTACCACCCTGGGCCCCAGTTTCCCCCCATTTTCATATAATCTTTCTCTCTCTCTCTCTTTTTTTTTTTTTTATTTCCTCAAATTACTTGCTGTTCCCTAGGGAAATTGCACATTACTGTCTAGATTGGTCCCGTCATTACTGCTTGTAGCTTTGTCCCAAGACCTGCCAAGGTTTAATTCCCCTGGCTTCCTGTCTTTCACTCTCTGGATGGTTTCTCCTCTCCTTTTTTTCTTGAAGAATTTGGTCTGGATGGGACATTGACTAAGTGGATGGGGCCCCCTGTTTATAGTGGGGATTGTTTTTGACTCAGCGATAATAACCTGCAGCTAGACATGTACAGAAGATAGTCCCCAATTGATCAGTCTTGGGAAGGACGGAATTGAAACAATCTTTTTGAGAGAGACAAGTTGCCTTGCAGCCAGGCCAACCTGGACTAAAATCTCAGCTCTTCCACTTTCCTAGCTGTGTGACCTTGTATACATTATTTTACCTAGTTGAACCTCAGTTTGTTCAAACTGAGTGATCAAACACTGTGTGTGTGTGTGTGTGTGTGTGTGTGTGTGTGTGTGTGTGTGTGTGAGAGAGAGAGAGAGAGAAAGAGAGAGAATTATATGAGTGTGAAGAGTTGTTGATGCATGGTGGGTGCTTAGTAACCATTAGTGGTGCTGATGAGGTCATACTTTTGTGCCCGACGCCCATATACTAAAGGGCTTATTCGGAAGCTAAGCTGGGGACGTTTATTTCTACAGTAAGAAGCAGAAACAGCTGGGCTCAAATATATACTCTAGAGATCAAAATAGGAAAGGTCCATCTTGGTGCAGAGCCTGAGGTCTGGAGGCAACCAGACCTATGTTCAAATTCCAGATCTATCTGGATGACCTTGTGCAAGTTGCTTAATCTATTTCCTTACCTGTAAAGGGACATTAATAATAGCACAGGGTTGCCTTGAGTACCAAAAGAGAAAATGCAGATGAATCAGCTCAGCCCAGCACCTGGCACATAGTGCTCAATAAATGTTAGTGGCTATTATTATTATTGATGATAAGAAGAGGATTGAGCCAGGAGACACCTGGGAGTTAGTACCGGGAGATAGAGTCCTGAGAGGCAAGTGGCCTTTTTTGTAAGCCACTTCTGCCCTGCTCAGTGCTGGGCCAACACACATTGGAGCATTGTGCCCTCTTCTTTCCTGGGGAGTGGGAAAGAACAAAGTGTCACATTTAAAGGGACCTGAATTGTTGTGCATCTAACTCCCTCCTCCATCTCCATGTGTATTAATTTTATTTAGTGGCGATGGCCTAACAGAATGTGAGACATTGGGCTTGCATTTAGGATTCCTGAGCTGGCAGGCTAGTGGAAAGAGACTCGTTAGTCTCATTTGCCTTCCCTGTAAATGCAGACTAATTATATTTTAGATTGTTATTGTAAGGATTATATACTATTAAGTATGTGAACAGGCATCCAGTACATATTGATTAAATCTGAGTATCCTACTTACAAATTTGTAGCCACTGTTTAGATTACAATCTCAAGGGAGGGTACTACATTCCCTCGCCTCATCTATTCATCCCCCACAGCGCCGAGCATAGTGCCTGGTACTCAGTAAGCACTCAGTAAATATTTGTTGTATGAAGAGCCATTTAAGTGACTTAAGAAATGGAAAACAGAATTCGAGAGGAAGGCGCAGGAATTGTTTATCAAGAACAGAAAGGACCGAAGAGTAACTTTAATAATGTTTCTTATACGGCAGACATTTACTATCTCTATAATCGCCCCTCCTCCTCCCCAAAAAGAGAGACAGAAATTGTAAGGGAGAGGCTTTGAGATAAAACCCCAGGAAGAACTTCCCCAGTCTGTGCATGTTGAGGCAGAAAGAGCGGCAGAGCCAACTCCTTCCCTGGTATGTCCGGGTTTAGGGTGGGAGGGGCAGAGCTGCTTGGAGGCTGGGGGAAGGACGAGATGACCTTTCAAAATCTCTTCCAGTCCCCAGTAGGAATCGTCTGTGCGCCCCACCCCCCTCCTTCCCTCCCACCCTCCGACAGCGCCCCCCGTCTCCA